AAGCTGTTTCTCTCTTTCATCTGCGTTGCCCAGAGGAATACAGCTGCAGTTAAGTGCAAGGAAGCTTTTGGCTTATGATGGATGGGTCCAAGGAAGAGGGGAGCAGGAGGGGAGGAGTGCGATGAAAAGGATTAGTGAAGGATGGGGATAGAGAGGAGGAGGAGCAGTGAGAGGAGGAGCAGTAGGAAGAGCAGACATGAAGGAGCAGCAGGAGGAGGAACAATGGGGGAGGAGCAGCAAGAGGAGGAACTGGGGAGGAGCAGCAGGAGCAGTGGGAGAAAGAGCAAAGGGGGAGGACTAGCAGCAAGAGAAGAAACAGTGGGGAGGAGCAAGTGCTCCCTGCTTGTCTTGTTACAGCATGCTATCACCACGGAGAATCTGATCACCTGGATCCCTGTCCATCACCAGAGGTAGAAATGCCCCAGGATCTATGCCTCAGAGGAGACCAGGGAAGGAAGCAGCAATGACAGCTACCTCAGATTCTCAGCCTTCCGCTCCCAGGTCCTGGCCTCCCCATGCCCTTTGAACTTATAGTTATGGGTGGTGATGGTGGTGGTGTGGTGGTGGTGGTGGCGGTGGCATGTGTGTGTGTGTGTGTGTGTGTGTGTGTGTGTGTGTGTGTGTGTGTGTACAGGTGCACATGCGCCATGCGGCAGGCATTTGTGTGGAGGTCAGAGGACAACCACAGATGTCACTCCTCGCCTTCCACCATCTTTGAGACAGGGTCTCTTTGCTCTTCCTTGTGACATAGACTAGGCTAGCTGGCTTTAGTTTCTGGGGAGTCTCCCTTCTCCACCTCCTACCTTGCTAAGGAGCACCCAGACTGGTGGGAACTGGGGCCATAACTAGTGAGAACTGGAGAGGTGGCTGTGGGAACTAGGAGCAATGACAGGTAGGATCTGGCAAAGGGAGGTGGCTGGTGGGGAACTGGAACCAGTGACCAGTGGGATGACTTCCATTTTAGTGACTGGGGCAAGTCTCACTGAGGACCCAGTGTCAGCCATATCAGCCTTGATAGAAAATAAAGTGCCAATAAAAGAGTGTCCTGCTGGGGAAGGCCAGACCTGTGCAGAAGATGAATAGATCCTGGAGGAGGGTACATTCCTAGACTGAAGCACATTCCTGAGGAGGGCTCAGCAGAGGTGATCCAACCCAGGAATCAGGAAGTCCTGACCATGTTGAGAAGCTCAGATAGCTTCAGTGTGGCTCCAGGCTGGGGGTCGTGGACAGACAGTGATGTTCAACACTGGGAAACAGTATGGAGAGTGAGATGATCCTCTGGATGCTGTGCCGTGTGACCCACACTTTGGTGACGGGTGCCCTGTGGCACCGACTGAGCAGGAGACAGGGGTCATGCATAATTCCTCTCCTCTCAAAACTCCTCCTGTCCTCCAGATCCCCTGTGCCACTGCCACTGTGAGGGTCTGGGGCAGGCCCAGAAGGCAGACTCTGATAGTATCTACTTGGCACAATGTATGAGTCAAGGAATTTTCTGAAGCCAAGTTTCTCCCCAGGCCTTCCCAGACCTGAGCACCCCACCCTGAGGAGTTCTGGGCTCTGGGCAGCACCTGGTACATTGTCGGCACTTCCTGGAGGACTTGTCAGAAAGAGATTGATGTCTCTCCCTCCGGCGGTGCGGGGAAAATCCTTCCTGCTGCCTTAGACAGGTTTGGGGCAGTGCTGGGAGTCACAGAAGGATCTCAGCTGCAGCTCCACCCTCTGGGTGCAGAAAGCCCCTCTGAAGAACCAGTTACTAGCTGTATATACTCCAAGACAGGGAGCTTACCCTTTCACAAGAGTCACCTCCCAGGAGGGGTGAGCTTGGTAGAGAAGGCTAACCTTTCAAGGAGCAGGGCTCAGCTGCCCAGAAAAGACCCCTCCTACCATGGTCCAAGTCCTGTCTTTTAGTCACTCTGTCCTTCCTGCTTACCCTGTCCCAGATAAGAATTCAGAGTCAGTGGGACAGGGCTCAAGGACCCTGGATATTGCTTTCTCTAGGCTGAGCTGTTCTGGCCCCCTCTCCTAGTCCTGTTATACCAGATTCTCCTTTCTTTTGACAGACAGGACTTCACTGGGTAACAATTCTTCTAACCCAGATTCCCAAGTGCTGCTGTTACGGATGTGCAGTACCAGGCTTGGCTGCTCTTCTTCCCTTCTAGAAATCACAAAGGACAACCATTCTCTGTATGTGTGTACATTAGGCATCCATCAACATGACCTCAGACTTCTGGCTTTTTAGCAATTTTATAGCAAATACTGGGTTTGTGGTCATCAGAGCTTTCAGTCTATCTCAGTCTCTCCCATTCTGTGCTTTTGCAACCAATTTTAACATAAAAATTCTTGAGTGTTTACCTTTCTTCCGGCTGCACTTACTCATGTGTTAGTCTGCAGAAAGGACAGAATTCTTCCTGGGATTCCACATGACCCCCACAAGGCATGCCAGGTGATGGGAGCCAAGGTCCAGTTGCACCAAAAGACATCCCCCTGATCTGCAGAGGTCCCTCATCCTGGCCACTGGCTCAGCCTGAATGTGCTCCCTGTACACATACTCTTCCTCAAGCCCAAGCTCCGGCCTTCTGACTCAGTGCAGATGTCCCCACCCATGGCTGGCCCACTCACAATCACCGCATTTCACCTCTTCTCTCCTCCCATGGTTGCTGCCTGCATTAGAGCTATATCATCTCCGGCCTGGGCACTGAGGACAGCGTCCCTCAGGTTACTCTTTTGCCACTCTCACCTCTGTCCTAAACAATACTTCATCAAGAATGAGCTTGTGGCTGCCTGCAATGTGACTCAGACACTTCCCTGTCTGCTCCTCGGCCCCGACACCCTGAGTCTCTACTCCCCATCCAGAGGGCCTCTTTCCCTTTCCTCTCAGGGGCTGCATTCAGCCCACACAGGCACAGGCAATGCTGTTCTAATCATTCCTCCTTATTCCCTGGGTCCTGTGCAGCTCCTACCTTCCTGGAGCCCACCCCCAACCTTGCTCCAAGTGTTTCTTGCTATTTTTTCAGTCCACAGTACCCACCAGTTTCTGTGACTTCCATGGCTACCTTGGGTCTGGAACCATAAGCTCAGACACGGAAAAGGATGCACCTCAGAGCAGGTGGGGCTGGTGTCTGTTGTCGTCAGGCCTCCTGGAGGAAGCCCCCTGCTCCTTCCCCTGTCTGTAGCACAGATGATACTAGGAACACAGAGCATGTATTCTTTGAAAAATGAACAAGTGAATGATGGAATGCACCTGGGGCCAAACAGCCCTCCATTCTCCTTGCACACAGAAGGGGCATCTTTGCCCCACCAGGCCAGTCACCATGCATCAATGGCTGCCCCGGTTGGAGTTCTCTGGGAAAGGAGGCTGAGCAAGGTCCAGATCCAAGCTCTGTAGGAAACAGGTGGACACTAAGCCCTGAGGAGCTTTTTTGGAGCACATGCTACCCACCTGTGTCACTGCCTCAGTTAGAATAGGCAGGCACTTCTCTGTCTGGCTCTAAGTGCCCTGAGGCAAGCCACTAGGGCAGAGCTCCCCTGGGTCCCAAGAAATTCTGCCCTCATGGAGAACACTGATATACAGATGGTTCAACATTGCCCAGGAGATAGATACTCAGGGAGTAACAGGTGGAAGGACCCTATCTTGTTAATCGGTATATGAGCTGTATCAGAATGGAATGCTTAAAAAAAGGTTTCTTAATACATAAGATGAAATCAATAGGTCTAAAAGGTAGCCCACCACCTGGAACTGGAGGCCTGCTGGAATCCAGACAGGATGTCCAGCAGGAACTGGGACTTTTAATGGTGGGAACACAACTTCCCATTGGGGTCCAGTGGGAATCTGTCCAGAAACTCCTCAACATTTTCCAGGGGCCTGCCCACTGAGGCTAGACCCGGGTATGTATTTATCCCCTTCTGAGTTTTACTTTGGCCTTGTGAAGTGTTGATGTGAGAGTCAAACCCTAGCATGCCCATATAAACTTTCTTTTAACCTGGGACCCAGGGGTGTGACCTGTTAGGGAGTAGTCCAGATTCCTTTGGTTAACTCCCTTTGGGCATTGTTTGAGTACCTGCTGAGGCCTAGAAGGTGCTAGAGACTGTCATCGTAGGGGCTTGGAAGCCTCAACTATCTGACCTCAAGCATGGAAGAGGGCAGGTCAGAAGCCAGGATCTAGCCTGGCCTCAAGGTGTGGAAGCTAGGATAAAAGAATGTGTTTCCTCTGCTATTGTCAGTGCCCCGGGGAGGCCGCTGGCTGCCTGATGGGTGACCAGTCCTGGCCTGGGCAGTTGTGACTATGCTGAATACAGTGAGATCTCTGAGACTTTCAGAGTGCAGAGTTAGCAGAGCTAGGCTGGATGTCACCTCATTAAGGGCCCATCAAAGGTCACCACATGCCCAGGTCAACAGTGACTGCAGGAAGAGGAGAGGCCTAGTGGGAGAGGCAGGTTGCATGAGGCAGGGGGAGCCACTATCCCCTTAGAGCTTTGGAGCCCAGCCTTCAGCTCAGGGACCTACTGCCACAGGCCTCTGGGCAGTGTGTAAGCAACAGTTGCCCCAGGATGCCATGGACAGCTTTGCCAACGTTGGGCCAGCTTTTAAACCAGCCCAGAAGGACTTTGGTCCTCACCCAGTGCTGACAAAAGTCACAGGTTTGGCAAGGAATCCGAAAAGCCCATCTTCTAAATCGAACCCTCCTGTGTTGTAGATGTGGTTTAGAACTGATCTTATACCCACTTACACCAAAGAGAAGCAACATGTACCGAGCTGGTCTGGTCTTAAAAGGCTGGGAGAACAGAGAATAAAGGAGTTGAGAGTAAACAGGGCGCACACACATCCAGGGAGGGCACTGCATCCAGGCTGTGGGGGGCAGAGGGTCTGGAGTCCAGGCCCAGGCACGGAAGAAGAAAACGAAAGGCTTTGCTGCCTGAGAGGGCCTGGAGGGTTGGTCTGGGCCTGCACTTGGCTATGAGCCACAGTGATGGGATCTGTGCTTCTCCTGTCTTCCCTGCAGATCCTGGAGGAGAACATGAAGCTGGAGTGTAAGTGCCACGGTGTGTCAGGCTCCTGTACCACTAAGACATGCTGGACCACCCTGCCACAATTCCGAGAGCTAGGCTACGTGCTCAAGGACAAATACAACGAGGCCGTCCATGTGGAACCCGTGCGCGCCAGCCGGAACAAGAGACCCACCTTCCTGAAGATCAAGAAGCCCCTGTCCTACCGGAAGCCCATGGACACTGACCTGGTGTACATCGAGAAGTCACCCAATTACTGTGAAGAGGACCCAGTGACAGGCAGCGTGGGTACGCAGGGCCGTGCCTGCAATAAGACAGCCCCCCAGGCTAGTGGCTGTGACCTCATGTGCTGCGGCCGCGGCTACAACACACACCAGTACGCCCGGGTGTGGCAGTGCAACTGCAAATTCCACTGGTGCTGCTACGTCAAGTGCAACACGTGCAGTGAGCGCACCGAGATGTACACCTGCAAGTGAGTGGAGGTCACAGGTCAGATCGCAGGCAGGACTCAAATCTCCCTGTAGGCCACTGCCTGGATCCTCACAGGGAACCACAGAAGCACTGTTCTTGTCTTTTCTGCTGAGGGGGAGGAGCGGCCCAGCTATCCTGCAGACTCCTGCGGGAAGCACCTCTCAGAGGCCTCGCCCATTCTTTTCCACGGGGATGCTGCTAGGCCACCCTCCCCCACACACTGCCTGACCGCCTCCTTGGCTGGAACAAAGTTTTCTGCGGCAGGCGCGCTGGAGCCTCGGGCCACGCCATAGCAATATTTAACAATTTATTCTGATAAGAAATAATATTAATTTATTTAATTAAAGAGAATTCTTCCACTTCGTCGGGATCCGTTTTCTGCAATCGAAGTGGGCCTGCTTGAGGTCCTGGCCGGATGACTGTTGTTAGGACCGGGAGCGGAGAACAACTGTACATAACTATTCTTTAAGCAGATGTTTCTACTAGTTGATTTTGCAAGTACCCTTCTGCAGCGGTAGGTCTTAAGTACAAAGAGAAGATGGTCTTTATACACATATAGATCTATATGCACACACATTTGTATTTTTTTTTGTTTTGTTTTTTGCTGTTTGCTGCTACCTATCCAGAATCTAAGCTGGTCCAGATCTGGAGCTGTTTGTCTCCAGGACATGCCCCCATCCTTTTGCCCTCCACAGCTCAAACCTCGGCGTTAGGGAAGCTCCATTGGGAATAGTGCGTGTGAGGGCACATGGCTCATAAGTTCCCAGCAGTTTCCAGCTCCTGGAAAGTGAACCACTGGATAAGAGGGTTTCTAAAAGACTATTTTTCTATGGATATTTTATTTATATGGAGTCTGCCTGTGTTGCCCCATACCCCATGCTTCTTAACATTGGTACTCACTCAGGGGCAGGAGGACAAGGCCAGGTGTGTGGGCAGGTCCCCTGAGCACCCTCACACAGCTGGGTTCTGGAGTTCCATTTGCCAAGGGGGCCACAGCAGTTCCCAGATGCCTGGACTGGGATAGCTGTGTTAAAAGAGAGGGAACCAACCTCCAGCTTTAGCCTGCTAAGCTCAGGTCTTAGAATGGGGTCACTGCACGGTAATCTTGGGAGGTGACCTCAGGATGGACTACCGTAGCTGATGAGTTAGTGTTGAGCACATTTTGTGATCATCAGTGGGACCCGGCATTCTCAGGGATGCCGCTAAGCCACCTGGACAGCCCAGCCACTGCCTGTGTGCCTGCAGGTGAGGCATAGTCCTAAGAGAAGGGGTCAGAAAGAAGGGGAAATGAGGAAGCCAAGAATTGTTGGCCAACCACAGTGAAAGTGGTAGGCGTGGCCCCTCCGCAGCGGACCTGGCTGCACCTGTGTCTCTGAACCAGGAAACCCCTCCAGAAGGCTGGGGATATTTTTTACATGTGTCCCACATGCATTTCCACCTGTGTGCATGTAGGCACATGTAGGCACGTGCACACACTCCTGTGTCAGGGTTTAGAAGTACCTTCAGAGTGCTCACGTGTGCACCAGCTTGCATGTACCCCTATGTGCCTGGGAGATCAGATTATGTGTATGGAGACGTATGCCTGAGCATCTGTGGTCCCGGGGAGTGTGATCAGGTATCTGTATTTGTGGGCAGGGTGCAGGGTAGACAGCAGAGAACTATTTTGATTGTGTTGAGCCACAAAGAGACTGCAACTCTGAACTGTGTCTCCACAGCTGCTGCTGAAACTCAGATGCCTGTGAGACCACAGCCCCGAGCCCCCTGGCCTGTGTGCTTGGGGGCCCCTCAGTGCCTAGGGTCATGTCCAGTTCCCCCACCTGGGTTACAGCGTGACAAATAAACATGGCTGGATGGCTGACTTCTTCCCTTGGATGTGTTTTTAATTTTTTTTTCTTTTACTTAGATGTTTGGATGTATGGGCATGTAACTGGAAAGATGGAGTGGATGAATGCATGAATGGATGGATAGATGGATGGGGTATGGATAGGCAGGTGGATGGATGGACAGACAAAAGACAGATAGATAATACGTGAGCTTTGACAGGCGGGTGAGTGGATGGTGAGTAGGAGGATAGATGGATGGATGAGTGCCTAGATAAATGTCTGAAAAGGTAAATATGTATTTGGCAAAGAGAAAACTTACCATTGTTTCTCAAATTCCTACGGTACCCCCCTCTCTCTCCTTCTCTCTCTCTCTGCACATTTATAGGATCTCCATTGAACATGGGCTTTCCCAGCTATCATCAGTCCCTCTATTCCTGGCCTCACTTGTACTTGGAAATGGGGGAGCTTCCAACTAGCCTCCCCAGGTGACTATTTAACATTAGCAACATAAGCATGACTCAGATGATGCCCTGCTTCATCATCTAAATGAGCAGAGGGCCGGCATGAAGGCAGTAGGTCCTGTCAGAACAATACTGAGGTTGCCTGCTAGCCTGCCAGCTGATGTCATAATGCACTGTAGGCATTCAACCTTGGGGCCTGTCCTTTCTTTAAATGCACAGCGTGACTGTACTCTGGGCCTCAGTTTCTCCATCTGTAAAATCAGGGACTAACACCTTCCTTTCTGTGAGGATCTTTCTATGAGGGACCAAGTGCCATTCAGAGTAGCAAAACAACACAGAAAGGCCAGAGGATGCTCCTGTCACTCATAATCAGGCTGTGCTCTGATTATGGAGTCTTCTAGCCCAGCTTAAGGTGATTCGCTTTCTTTCAGCTCTGTGCTGACAAAGCTACTCCCTGTCCCATCTGTTGCATCCCAAAGTGGGTTTTCAGCAAAACTAACACTTAAAAGACTGGAGTCTTAAGTCATCACTCCATCAAAACACCAGCCAGATGGCAGAGGACAGCAGGAACACGCCAGGTAAGCAACTCCACACAGGCCATTTCTGGCACATGACATAGTAGGCTTGTGAGGCTAAATTCACAGCCTGCCCCCAACTCTGATTCACCAAGCAAGCTGGGCATCTGGGTTTCTAAATACAACCTCCCATTCATGGCACCTTGGCACACACCCATGGTCAGTGTGAAGCAAGATATGACTGTAGATAAACTTGATTTTTGTGCCACTGGCATGAAGAAACTGAAGCCGAGAGGGGAGCAGGGAACCCCTCAACAAAAGGTCCTGAGCAAAACCTTTCCCCAGGAGGTGGAGCCATCCCTGCACACTTATAAGCAGGTCTGAGCTGTAACTTGAGCTTCCAGGAAGCCCCTTTCCCCCACTGGTGAGAACATCTTAGAAGTCTCCTGCCAGGAAGGGAGAACAGCCTATGTGACCTGGAGTGAGCACCAGGCCTGAACCTTCTGCCACTTCCAATGGAGGCTTGAAGATGAAGAGAAAGATCCACACAAGCTGTTAATGCAGGCTCATCTCCTCCATTTGAGCACATCCCACAGGAAAAGAACTGGGTCCCTGGCTTCGTTTCTTCTGCTACTTGGATAGAGTACCCTGGAAAGAGCACCTCAAGGGAGAAAGGATTTCTTTTTAGCTCACGGTTCAATGTATAGTCCATAGGGGCAGGGAAGTCAAGGCAGCAGGAGCTTGAAGCAACTGGTCATGTTAAGTTTTTAGTCGGAAGAGAACAATGGTCACACGCTTGCCAGTACACAAGGCTTTTTCCACTTACTCGGCCAAGGTCCTGACACCATTAGGATGGCTTTCCCCACATCAGTTACCTAATAAAGACAACTGCCTACAGGCATGACCATATACCTGTCTCCCAGATGATTCTACACCCTGTCAAGTTGATGAGTTACACTAGTCGGACAGACCACCTCACTGTCAACTCCCAAGCCTCCTTGCTTCCACGCATCACCTCAAGCAGCCAAGCTCTAGCCAAACCAGCACACACCTAGCTCGCCACCTACCAAAGCAGATAAAGATGGGACCTCCTCACACTCTAGACAACCCACCTGGCACATGGTTTTGTGCCCTAGCGGTTGCAATGATGCCATTTACAAAGTGCTCTGTGCTGGACAAGGTTCTGGCAATCTGCATGCTTCCTCACCACCACCCCTGTTTGCAGTATGGGGCTACTGTGTCTTCCCACACCTTTGCCTACCCTACACCTGCTGTTCCCTCTACCCAGAGCACATGCCTTCCTTTCTCCACCTGGCCCTTCTGCTCCTCAGAAGAGTCTATCCAAGATGCTTTAGGGCGGATGAGACCTAGAGCCCTGGCCCTTGCCTCTTCCCAGGCTGCTGCTACAGAGCATGCTCTCTGACAAGGCTCCGAAGCCAGCTAAAAGCAGAGAAGAGAGCAAACCACACAACAAGTCACTGATGGACACAGACGTGGAACTTGTCTCCTGGACTCCAAGATCAGGGTTTTCCTCTTGTTTGGAGAAGTCTGTTAGAAATTGCTAAGTAACACATCATCTCCATGGCTCACTGCCTTGACACAGCAAGGACAATCACATGCCCCTCAACAATAGGGACATATCCTGGACACAACATCTGTAAGTGAGCCCATCAGTATGTGGTCATCATAGAGTGGACTGATGCCAGCCACATGGGACAGTACATTGTGCAGGGACTCAATGGGTCAGTTCCTATTCTAGGGTATGGATCTGTACAGTATGTCACTGCAGGATAACTACAGGGAATGTAGGCACCTGTGACATGATTCACATCTATAAACAGAAAACGTTCATCAACAAGCTAGATATGGCGGTAACAGCATACACCTCTAATCCTGGCACTCAAGAGGCTGAGAACAGAAGAATGAAAGGTCCAAGATCAACCTAGACTACACAGTGACTTTGAGGCCAGCCTTTCACTACATAGTGTGAGCCTGTCGCAAAGGGAAAAAAATACAAAAGGAAGAAAAAGCAGAGTAAAAATACTAGGCAAAAGTCATTTTTGAGTTCCATTATAAGTTTATGGAACCCCCACGGTGTATAGCCAGACAATGACCAAAATATCATGGTGTGGCTCATGACAGCAGTTCATGAGTTCTGAGTGTGACAGAAAATTTGGGGCTTGGAGTGGCTGGGTAGGTTCCCTCCTGCATCCATGTCAGCTGTGGGTCTCACAGGCATAGTACTGATCTTGACAGAAATTCTTGCATTGCTTGGGGTCAGCTCACCATGACAGGGATTAGAATGGCTTCCCCAAAGAGGCCATCCTCTCTTCCACTAAGACTAACCCTCCAGCAGGCTAGCCCAACAGCTTTCTATCTCAGGCCAAGGAACCCACAGTTTGCAGAGTCCCCGAATGGCCACCTAGAGAAGCACACAGGAAGAAACTTACGACTACCATGGAATTGGTACGGTCCACTAGGCTCCACCACAATGGCCTGTCTTTTTCTAGCCTTTGGTAAGCTCACCTCCACCCTGCCCCAGGCCTCCACTGTTCCTCCAACCTTCAGGCTACTCCATCCTAACCTGACTTAAAAACCAACAATGTCTTTGTCCTGGCTTCCCATGCCCTCATCCACTGTCTTCTGTTCCTTTGTGGCAGTTACCACTAGCTGAAATAATAGCTCCTATATCTTATGTGCTGTAAAGAATAATCACCAAAAACATAGAGCCCAGAGGTGGTGGCACACACAGCATTTGGGAGTTAGAGGCAGGAGGATTAGGAATTTAAGGTTATCCTTGACTACACTGTGACTTCAAAACCAGCCTGAGAGACATGAGCCCTTGTCTATAAATAAATAAATAAACAAACAAATAAATGAGTAAATAAATAAATATGTAAATAAATAAATGAATAAATAAATAAAGTGAGAGCATAGGCCATGGAGTTGAATTTCCTGGCTTCAAAGCTGGCTGTATATTTTGGAGCAGCCCACTTAACCTCTCTATATGCCCATCTTTCTCAGGGAGAAGCTGCAACAGGATGACAGTGACCCAAGGAACTAACCCATTCAGGCCCCAGTGAGGCGAGAAGGGGAGGCTTATGGGGCAGGGATCTGGGAGGATGCTGCTTGGTCTTCAGTGCCCAGCACATGGTTAGGATACTAAGCATCTGGTGACTAAGGACGAATGCCTGGTGGAACCCAGAGGGCTCAGGAGGGCACCAGAGGTGAGGACCTGGAAGACAAGAGGATGGCTTGAGGGCTGCAGCACACTGGAGCTCGCTGGTGCCTATGGATACAGACACCGACAGGCAGCACTGGTTACCACAGCAACGCTCCTGGACCCGGAAGAATTAACTGAAGACAACAGGAGAGCTCAGTAGCCACCCCAGCTCAGCGCCCGGACAGCAAAAAAAGAATGCAACCAGCGCATGCGCACATACGGTCACACAAAGATGCTGACTGAGCCGGAGATCCAGCAGGCCCCCACAGCCAAGGGAGAGGACGGACACTCCAGAGCTATGTGGCTCCAGGCAGACCTTCACAAGCAGCTATAAGACACACACACTGACCATCTCAGCCACACTTGGGTGCCTGCCAAGGTAGCAGAGGCTCAGAATCTCAGTATTCGAGAAGCCGGCGATAAGAAGATGATAAGCTCCTCTCTCTGAAAGCAGAGGGGACAGTGCCATATTCATAAAGGTACCAGATGCACACACCCAGGGACAGGCCACAGACAGGACATGGAGAACGCTGCAACCTTTCCTTGGGAGCCATGCCTTGGACTTTTCTCTCCCACTGTGGTCTCTGGTACCCGCTTAAGGGCAGGTCTTCAATGTTTATTTGTGTATACATGGTTAAGTGAGGGTCCTCATGTGAGGTTGGAGAGAGCCAGTGCTACCTGCCTCAGGAGGCCACACCCAGGCAGGAAACCACCTGGGTCTGAAGGGCCAACAGTGCTTCCTAAGCTTGGTGTCTGTGTGCCCCAGAGCGCCTGTTCACTGCCCGACTCTGGCCTCCAATCACAGGTCTTCCCTTTCTTGGTCTGGAAAGGTTGGTGTG